AAAGAACATAGCATTCTCGCGAAGAAGCTACTGACTAAATAGTGGGTTTTAAAAAAAAAATTTTTGGCCATCAATGAATTTTATATAAATGGGGCATACTGCAACAAAACCAACATTAGTTTGTATTACCAAGAATTTCAGGGATCAAAATTTGATCATTATTATAAAAATAATTAATATGAAATTAATTTATATCAATTCGTTTTCACTAATCTTCACTCACAGCACCAGACCAGAGAAGGCTATCATGTTTATTTTATTAAAGACATATAATTAATTGGGGTCTGATTTCTTTTCATCGATAATCACTTTGTTGACATTTCGTTGACAGTTCATATATTTTAAGTTTTGCGTGACAAAATTGCATTGTTTTTAAAAGAAATAATTTTTTTCATTTTAAACCAATAAGCAACGTTTAATATATTCCTGTGTAAGTTATGAGAGGATCTAATACGAATAAAAAAAAATACTAAAAAGATTTTTTTTTACAACCAAAATTCGTTTCCATTTGCATTTTATGAATGAAAATAATCAACAATTGACGTTTTTGGTTATTTTATGAATGAAATAATTAACAATTGATGTTTTTTATTATTTTATAGTTCAATATTAAAATTATATAAATCGGTAACTAAATTGGTAAATTTAATAATTTATTATACGTATTAGTATTAGTATATGTTTCTATTGTGAAATGAGTATTTCTCTATTATTCAATGATATAGTTATTTTAATTATAAGCAACACAAACAAAACAGGATGAGTAGATATTCTGCAAATAGTCAGATCATTTGGGATTTTATATATAACTTTAATATTTGTATTTTAGTTAACATTAAAATTGATTAAATAGATTCTGGTTCATAAAAAAAAATGGGAGCATGTCTTCAAATGTGGTGGACTTCAAAACTGCGGAACGATACACACGGCTTTGCCTACATGGAAAAAGGACAGGAAAGTTGATCTCATTTAACGTGATACATACAGATGTTCTTGATCCCGTCATGGAAAAACGTTGTATGATTTGGTCATGAAGTGTCAGTTTTTATGAATGAACTTAATAACAATTGGATGGGCCTTTTATTATTAGTTGTTATTACATATATATACAACTAAAGATAAATTAAGAATCTATTTTGATGCTGAAATTTGTTATATCACTAATATGTTAATATAATTAGATATTTAGAAGTAATGTTTTAACATTTAAAAAAAACAGTGTGGATTTATAATTATAATGATGCACTTTTAAAAATTGGCATTAAAATTAATCCAAATTCATTAAAAAGAAAAAAGAACCCACATGTATTGGATCACATGATTTCTCTATTACTATGGGGACGATGACCGCCACGGACATGAAGATCATCATTATTGCTATAATAATTTATTATTAATATTGTTACATCGAAATGGATTTCCCATGTTTTCCATAATATCATGTTCCCACACTTTCAACATTCCCACATTCTCCAAATATATATCCTGCCTCTTTCATTAATTACATTAACAATTCATTGATTATTACACTCATTTGTAGATTTTTTTAAAAATTAGAATTTAGAATTAGAAATCAATAAAACAAAAAGTTTTTTTATTCGAAAAACAAATCAAAATAAAAAAATTTTTTTTTTCCCTTTAATTAATACCTTAATACCGAATCAAACTATTAATAATTTTCGACCTATAATTTTTACATTTATAATAAATATAAATATAGTTTGATCCTATTATTACTTAATCAATAACATAACATCATAATCATAAGTAATCATTTGCTATTATATATTATTATATATTACTATTAATTTCTTCTCATTCCTTTTTTTTTCTTTATAACTAATATTATTGTTATTAAAGAAACTTCTTTTTGCCTTGCTTCATTTCATTCAATCAAAAAAAAAAACCAAAAACAAAACAATGTCTTCATTAGAAACATTTTTATTAATATATTTATTCGGAGGTGTTACATTCTTTCCTTTATTAATATTAATAATATTTCTTGTGAAATTTCAGCCCTGGAGATTGAAAAAGAATGAGAATATTGAATTTGATGACGTGCCTGATGAATTATTAAAAAATAACAATGATGATAGATCAATCATTAATAATAATAAAAATGTTAATAATGAGACTATAGATAATTCTGGTTTTTATAAATTTGGATGGATAAGAGTAACCAAAGAACATGAAGCAAGTTCCACAACTCAATTTTCTAACATTTCTTCCACTTCAATTAATCCTTCTAATAACTCTTACAACCCTTCTTCTAACAACTCTTCTATTCCGACTTCTCTTGAAGCTGCTTCTCCAAATAATTTCAAACCAACTACTATCATATGCGGTAGTATCATAATAGCTAGTCTATCATATTTCCTTTCAAAGACATCGTCATTATCTTTATCATCATCTTTAAAAAAAAATCAACAAATAGAAGAAGAGGTCAATTTTCTAGAATCAAAAGTTTATTCAACTTCATTGGTGAATCGATTACTAAATGATCCGTCTTATATACACAATATGGGTTATGACATTCTAAAACCTGATAGAAAAACAAAACATTTAACTGCTAACACTTTACAAGGTAAAGGGAAATTCATCATGAGGCCAATAGTTTTCTATTCCAGCGAGAAGATGGAAAGCATTATGTTTTTGCATGTTGGCAACGATTTGTGTGGTCATGATGGCGTCATTCATGGTGGATTATTATCAACAATTATGGATGAAGGGTTGACAATAACTGTAATTATCCTAATAAATGTCATTTACTCATTTTTGGTTTTGAACTTTTAACGCAAATTTATTAATTAAATAATCATTAAATTGAAAAAGGTAATTCCATCATTACCAGATAAAAATGGAGCAACAGCATTTCTACACGTGAATTTTCGTAAACCATGCAAAGCAAATCAAATATTGGTTTGTAAATGTAAAGTTACAAAAATTGAGGGTAGAAAAGGTTTTGTTGAAGGAAGGTTAGAAACATTCGATGAAGGTGTTGTTTTGGTAGATGCTAATGCATTATTTATAAGTTTGAGAAAATTAAATTAATTTTGATTTTTAATTGGAATAATTTATTTTTAAAATAATTTATTTATTTAATTTTTTTTGTTTCTAATGGCCTCTAGATAATCTCTAGAAAATGTACATTAGTAAAATAATTAATTTTATTTATTAAAATGCAATAGTTAGTTAATAATCATCAATCAATTAACTATCCTAACACTTGATTCAATTCTTCTATTGAAGTGTTTAATATTGGTTTTATTACAGGAAATAAATCTGTGTGATCCTGTATTATTTTACAATCATTTCTGCTAGGTGATTTTGATAAAGATGATGAGGGTGACAAGGGTGATAATACTGGTGATGTTGATAAGAATGATGGTGTCTTTGGCTTTTATTTTGGTATAGTTTTCAGTGTTATTGTTGTTAATTGGAGATTTATATTATTTTGCGAATCTGTTGTTGATAATGATGATGCATGATTTTTTGAATCATCATCTTTGTTGTTAAAATTATCACAATCATCATTATAATTGTTGTTATTATCATTAATATTATCATGATCATTGCTAATATTATTACCACTAATAATATTATTATTGTTAATAATAATATCATTATTAATATTGTCATTACTATTAGGAGGTGTTCCTGATATTATATTACCACTATTTCTTCTATTACGACGTTTTATGGATATAGATCTTGACCAATTTCTAATTGCTGAAGTTGAGAAACTTGATGAATTGTTTACATTATCTGGCAGATTCATATTACTATTACTATTACTGTCATTTTCATTATTACTATGTTGATTACTATTATTATTGTTGTTATTATAATTTAATAAATAATTTTTTGAGTTGATAAAATCATTTGCTAAATCAAACCGTTTCAAATGCTTGGTAACGTATCCAAGTCCATAATTATTAGATTTGGTCAAATTAGATTCACCACTACATGAATCATTTGATCCTTCAGCAGGACTATTGTTATCCATGGATGTATTCGAATTTATTATTTCATGTTTAATATGTTCATTGTCTGTAGCTGACAAAACTTTTATTTCATTTGTATCATTATTGTTATTACTAGTCAATACATCATGTTCACTTTTATCATTATTATTATTTGTCAAGAATTCTAAATTTTTATTGTTTGAATTTTGGTTATGTTCAATTATTTCATCCTTTTGCTTTTCTTCTTGTACCTTAATATGTCTTCATCCATTTCCTCTCCTTTTTCTTTTACATTATTATTTTCCTTACAGCCTTCTTCCCCTTCTATCACCACCACTTTGCATCACCATCAACATTATCATAGCATTTTTTGCCATCATCATTAATTTTCACATCACCTTCATAAACTCCACCCATTCCAAAACTTGAGAAAAATGGCAAATTCTCCATATTGGGTAATACTACAGTATCCATAATCATTTCATGAATTTTTGACTCAATTGCTTTAATTATTGGTGAGAATTTTAATTGAGTTTCTGAAACTATTGGTTCAATTAATAAATTCAATTTTGGCATTTCATAAAAACCAAACCAAATCCTATTTGTTGGTGGTGGTTTGATTTTCAACAACAATCTACCTTGCAGACCTTTCAAGACCACTGCAAGAACAAACGACAATTTAATGGTTCTCAATCTTGTAACCGAAATCATAGCTTCAGTTTCTATTTCCACCCTAAATCCACCATTATAATCCAGGTTTAGATCAACACTTAAATCACCATTATCAGACAATCCATTCAATTTAGGGTTGGTAATATAAGGTATTCCATCACCTACCTCTACTGATTTTATTTGTATGTCACTTAAGAAATTTGGTTTTTTGACTCTTTTGATTTTTTTCTTCAGTTTGTGGATGAAATATTCTTTGATTGTGTTTGTTTTATAGATTGAAAGAAATATTCTTCCTAGTGTTGCATTTAACCATTGAGTTTTTATGTGATCATCATTTGAGTTGATTGTTTTTAGTAAATTGGTCATTGCATGTTGATCAAACTCTGCTTTATCTTTTACTATTTGTGGCTGAGGACCGGGTGAATTTGAATGGAGTTTTGAGGATTTTTGTAATGCAAAAAACCAATCTTCTTTATCAACACATCT